ATCCCACTCACCCATCCAGCCATTTTCCGTCCATCCCTCTCGGCCGCCCTCCTTCTGTCCTCCTGTCTTCCCATCCAGCCATTCATCCATCTACCATCTATCCGTCCATCATCCTGTCCCCCGTCCATCTTTTCATCCACTCATCCCTTCATCCCTCCGTCCATCCGTCCATCCATCCAAGCAGCCATTTTCCATCCATCCCTCTTACTTCCCCTCTTGCATCCGTCTTTCCCATCCATCTGTCCACCCATCCGTCCGTCTTACCCGTCCACCTGTGAACTCTCCATCCATCTTTCTTTCCACTCATCCCTTCCACTCACTCATCCTTTTTCTCATCCCTCTCTTTCCCCTTTCATCCTTCTGCTCGTCATCCTTTTTAGCCATCTAGCATCCATCCTTTCTTTTTCTCTTCCGTCATCTCAGCCATCCTTGGCCAGGTTCAGTGGCTCAGCCTGTAATCTCAGCACTCTGGGAGGCTGAGGTGAGTGGATTGCCTGAGCCCGCGGGGTTCGAGACCAGCTCGGGCAACTTGGTGAGACCTCGTCTCCACAATAACTAAAAAATTAGCCAGGTGTGGTAGTGCGCGCCTGTAGTTCCAGCTACTGGAAGGCTGAGGCGGAAGGATCGCTGGAACCCAGCAGGTCGGCGCTGGGGTGGCTGTGAGCATGCCACTGCACTCCAGCCTGGGCGATGGAGTAAGACTCCAACTCAAAAAAAAAATAATTCTCATTTCAGTCATCCATCTATGAATTCATTTAGTTATTGATTCTTTTATCTACTCCTTCCTAATCACTCACTTATTCATTTGCCAAATCATTCATTCAACACAGGTTTTTGATTTTTGATTTTTTTTATTTTTATTTTTATTTATTTTTATTTTTTGAGTTGGAGTCCCACTCTTGTTGCCCAGGCTGGAGTGCGGTGGCATGCTCACAGCCACTGCAGCCTTGACCTGCTGGGCTTGGGCGATCCTTCCACCTCAGTCTTCCAAGTAGCTGGAACTACAGACGTACACCACCACATCTGCTAGTTTTTGTGATTTATTGTAGAGACAAGGTCTCACCAAGTTGCCTGGGCTGGTCGTGACCCCCCGGGCTCAGGCAGTCCTCTTGCCTTAGCCTCCCAAAGTGCTGGGATTACAGGCTGAGCCACCGAGCCCAGCTAACACAGGTTTTCGAAAGACCCCCTGTGCACCAGGCCCCAGAATTTCAGAAATAGCTGTGACCCTGCTTCAGGCACCACCAGGGGCACTAGTGGAGACCACCTACCCATTTCCCCCCTACTGTTGCCTTACGACTGTTATGTAAGTGACTCTGGCACCAGGAGTTTCCCGCCTGCTGTGTCTAGGGGGCCATAGTCTGGGGTGGTGTCCTGCTTAACTCTGTTTTCTCCCTTACTTACAGTCCCTGCTCTGATAACCACAGGCAGCTACGGGAAAGAACGGGATAAGCGAGGTATTCCCAAGAAGCAGGCAACAGTGGGGTAAGTGGAAGTCAGTGAACCCGGAGTCAGACTAAAACTGGTTAACGTTTTCCCTTGAACGAACTTTCTTTCATCATGTCTCTTTCTTGCTTTGATGACCTCAATATCTTCCCATTTCTTATCCTGTTACATCTGTAAGTTCACTTGCATGGATTTTACTTTGTTTTTTAGTTGGAATCTCACCCTGTTGCCTAGGTTGGAGTGCGGTGGCATGCTCATGGCTGCCGCAGCCTTGACCTGCTGAGTCCTTCTGACTCCGCCTTCCAAGTACCTGGAACCACAGGCGCGCACCACCACAGCCGGCTCATTTTATTTATTTATTTTTTGAGTTGCAGTCTCACTGTCTGTCCCCAGGCTGGATGGCCACTCCAGTGTTGACCTGCTGGGCTCTGGAGAGCCTCCTGCCTCAGCCTTTGAAGTAGCTAGAACTACAGGCACACGCTAACATGACCAGTTAATTTTTTATTTATTGTAGCGTCGCAGTCTCGCCAAGTTGCCTGGGCTGGTCTCGGACCCGGGGGCTCAGGCAATCCACTTTCCTCGGCCTCCCAAAGTGCTGGGATTATAGGTTAAACCACCGAGCCTGGCCTACTTATTTTATTTATTTATTATAGAGATGAGGTCTTGCCAAGTTTCCCTGACTGGTCTTGAACCCCTGGGGTCAGGCAATCCTCTTACCTCAGCCTCCCAAAGTGCTCGGATTACATGTGTGAGCCACCGTGTTTGGCTTACATGGATTTGAAAGTCCTCAACAATTGTTCTCCATCCAACTTCATTCATCCTTTCTTTCAACATTTATTGAGTGCTTACCATGTGACGGGCATTTTGTAAGCCATGGGGCTAGAGCAAGGGGCCAAAAAGACAAATACTTGTCCTCATTGAGTGGACAGTCCAGTGGAAGGAGAGAGACAACCAACAAATAAGTAACATGTGAGATGTTGCTAAGTGTTAAAGAGAATAAGGTAGAGAAGGGAGTGGAGGTGTCAGGAGCATTCTTACCGAGAAGGTGACATTTTATTTTTTAATTTAAATTTTTTCTTTTTTGAATTGGAGTCTCACTCTGTCGCCTAGGCTGGAGTGCAGTGGCACGCTCCCAGCCACCACAACCTTGAGCTCAGGTGATCCTTCTGCCTCAGCCTTCCAAGTAGCCAGAACTACAGATGTGTGCTACCATCTGTAAAAAATTAGCCCGGCTAATTTTTTGATTTATTATAGAGACAAGGTCTCACCAAGTTTACCCAGGCTGGTCTCGAACTCCTGAGCTTAGGCAATCCTCTCACCTCTGCCTCCTATAGGCTTGAGCCACCACACCTGGCCGAGAAGGTGACATTTGAACTAAGATCCGTAAAAGAATATCTGGGGGAAGAGCATGTCTGAAAGAGAGACCAGCTGGTGCAAATTTCCCGAGGTAGGGCAAGGATCAGCAAGAAGTTGGCGTGAGGGGGAGTGGGAGAGTAGAAACGAGGTCAAAAAGATAATGGAGGGGGAGAGCAAGGGACAGATCACACTGGGCCTGAGGGCTGTGGTGGGGAGGTGAGCACTTTCTCTCCCCAGATGGGAGTTATGGCAGGGTTCTGAGCAGAGGAATGGCAGGATCTGACTTAGGTTTTCACAGGATCCCTTGGGATGCTATTTGGAGACTAGGTTGTGGAGAGGCAAGAGGGGCGTCTGGGAGAGCGAGATGGTCCAGGCGAGAGACGGTCGTGTGGACCAGGGTGGCGGCCCTTTTATCTCACGAAGGATGGGCTGCCAGGACCGAAGACAGAGCAGCATGCTGCAGGATAGTGGTGCTGAGGTCAGGGCTTCCAGGGTGAGGGCTGACACATCCTGCAGAAACTCAATGGATATCAGTTGAAAGAATAAGGCCGCGGCTAAGTCAGCAGCCGTGGAGAACTTCGTTAGCTAGGATTCTCTTGATGGCAAGTGACAGAAACTCAGCTCAGATGGCCTCAAGTGAAAAGGAGGATCATTGCTTTGCATCACTGGGAAGGAAGTTCTGAAATGGTGCGACTTCAATCACGTGCCGTGTCGCCGGGACGTGCCCTTGTTCTCTTTCCCCCACTCTCTCCACGGATGGGCCTCATTCCCACGAAGGCTCTCTTCCTGTGGCGGCCAGGAGGGCCGTCTTGGGGATATTGTGGGGATAAGCAGCCCCCCCACCCTCTCAGCTCAGCAACCCAAAGGTGTCCTCTCTCTAGTCCGTGTATGTTTCTGGAGGAAGCCCTGATGGGTCCTGCGGGGCTCATCCCTGAACCAGTCACTGGCCAGGAAGATGGGACCTCTGAGGGATCAGCTCCTGTCCTCGGCCGCTGCAGTGTTGGGTGTTTGTGGGAGCCAGGACCAGGCGCCCTGGGGATTGGCCCTCCAAGACCTCAGGGGGGAGGGCAAGCGTTCCCCAACTAAACCACCCCAAGGGGAAGAGAAAGTGTCTTGGGAAGACACAGCTCCCGGCTGTCACAGGCTTCAGGACCAACTCCCGAGGAGTTATGGGGGCAGCTCAGAGAGGAAGGGGCTGGGGCTGGGTTGGAGGCTGTCCCTGGGACACCGTGGGCGCTTGAGGCTTCCCAGAGTCGGCTGCCACCAGAGGGCAACAGCCTCACGCGGAGTCTGCCCCGAGTCCTTGGCGAGCCGCGTCTCCTCCAGCAGGGGGTGCTGTTTATTGCAACTCGCGAAAAAGTTGCGTTCTGGCAAGTTGGGGCTTGTTTCAGATATCCTAGAATGGAGAACGTCCCTTCTAAACAGTTCTCATGGCTTATCTTTTCCATACAATGGGATCTTTTAAAGTGTTCAGTGGATGCCGGGCACAGTGACTCACACCTGTAGTCCCAGCACTTTGGGAGACGGAGGCGAGAGGATTGCCTGAGTTCAAGGCTTCAAGACCAGCCTGGGCAACTTGGTGAGCCCCCCCCACAATAATAATAATAAAAATCAGCTGGGCGTGGTAGCACACACCTGTAGTTCTGGCTACTTGGAAAGCTATTTTTGAGTCAGAGTCTCACTCTGTCGCCCAGGCTGGAGTGCGGTGGCACACTCACGGCCACCCCAGCGTCAACCTGCTGGGCTCCGGCAATCCTTCCGCCTCAGCCTTCCAAGCAGCTGGAACTACAGATGTGTACTACCACATCTGGCTAATTTTTAAAATTTATTGTAGAGATGAGGTCTTGCCAAGTTGCCCAGGCTGGTCTCTAACTCACGGGCTCAGGTAATCCACTCGTCTCGGTCTCCCAAGTGTTGGGATGACAGGCTGAGCCACTGAGCCTGGCCTATTTTATTTATTCACTTTCAGAGAGAGGATCTCTCCTTCTGTGGCTCAGACTGGAGTGCAGCGGCCTGATCCTGGCGGCCTGGGACTCCTGGAGTCAAGCGATTCTCCTGCCTCAGCCTCTTGAGTAGTGAGGACTAGAGGCTCATGCCGCCATGCCCTGCTGATTTTTACATTTTTTTGGGTAAAGGCGAGGTCTCACTATGTTGTCCAGGCTGGTCTCGAATTCCTGACCTCAAGTGATCCTCCTGCCCCAGCCTCCCAAAGTGTTGGCATCACAGTCATTAGGCGCCATCGTTGGCTAGCTGTGTGACTTTGGGTGAGCCCTCTCCCTGAGCCTCAGCTTCCTAATCTGTAAACTGGGAGCACCGACTGCCTTGCAGGCATTTGTTCCACTGGACCAAATGATTTATGCAGTACATATTTATCGGGCTGGGTACAATTCTAGGAGTGGGACCCAACAGCAGACAAAGTAGATGAAAATTCCTGCCTTTGTGGCACAGACATTCTAATGGAGGAGACAGATTAGGAAGAAAATAGATAGTCTTTTGGAGAAAGTGCTTAGGATAGGGCCTTCTGGCACATGGTGAGCCCTCAGTAATGTAAACTTGAAAAGCAGGTGCAGTCCTAAGTGACTCAGAAACAGAAAACCAGACACATGTTCTCACTCATATCTGGGAGCTAACAGGTCACAAAGATGGAAACAATAGACACTGGGGACACCAATAAGAGAGTAGGGGGAAGGAGTGTCAGGGTTCAGAAACTACCTCAGGGCACGGTGTTCACTATCTGGGCAATGGGCCACCTGAAACCCAGTCCCCGCCACTATACAATATGTCCATGTAATGAATACACATGTGCACCCCTGAATCTAAAATTTAAAAAAAAAAAAGCAGGAATGGGCCAGGCCACAGTGACTCATACTTGTAATTCCAGCACTTTGGGAGGCCGAGGCAGGAGGATGGCTTGAGGTCAGGAGTTTGAGACCAGCCTGGGCAACATAGCAAGACACTATCTCTACCCAAAAAATAAGGTTAAAAAAGCAGAAGTGGATTCTGGTTTGCATCCTGTTGATGTGAATTTCTCCCAAAGGCAGGGAGAAATCGTGCCAACCTGGGCCTAAGACAGGGTTGGGTATACAGTAGGTGCTCCATAAATGCTCACCGGTACCTGGAGTGTGATGTCTTCCTGTGTGGCTGCAGGTACTGTGTCCATTTCCGGTTGGGGTCTGTTCCAGAGAGCTGCGGGCAGGTGAGGGCACCCCATGCCCAGTGGACAAGATATCTGGCCCAGGGACACACAGTCTGCGTGAGGTGTGAGTGGCCTGCCCAGGACGCCAGGAGCCGGCGCTGCTATGGGGACGGCAGAGGGGCCAGAGGGTGAGCTGTGGCATGTGGGCACGGACAGGTGTCACTGCAGGGCCTGGGGTGTCTCTGTTGCCTGAGATGGCGGGAGAGACATGCCACTCCCTGGCCTGTGGTGGGGTGTGGGGAGGGTAGAGCAGGGTCCTGGTCCCTGTGTCTGAGGAGTTCGCCCAGTTAGGAGTCAGGCTCCTGGCACGTCCGGCGGTGCAACCTTGGGCAATTCTCATAACCTCTCTGACCCCCAATGCCCGACCTGAAAATGCAGATCCTGAAAGGGCCTCCCCATTGGGCCGGTGAGGGTTATGATTCTGCGAGCTGAGGATGAGCGGGGCTCCTGGTGTCCAGAAAGCACTCGGAGAAGACGCCGGCGTCATCGCGGACTTGTCACGGGTCCCTTTGATGCCGAGTGCGGGTCCTCTCATTTCACTCAGAGAGGCAGTGTGACTTACTCGAGGTCACACAGCAGAAATTGACCCAGATTTGGCTTCTATGAGCCCCTGGACTGCCTTCCACAGGGCAGGGTGTCTCAGAAAGCACTTCTCCTGTGAATTGTAATAATAGCGAATGTTGATTGAGCTGTGAGCTGGGGATTAGCCTAAGCTCTTTATATTCCTTCCTTCCTTCATTCATTCCGTGTTTGTTGAGCACTTGCTATTGAGTATGTGCCAGGCAACGTTCTGGACTCGGGGGGTGGGGGAGGACTGCAGTGAACGAAGCAGCTGTGGTCGCTTCCCTTCTGGAGATGACATTCTGCTGGGAGGAGACAGACGCTAGACGAGCATGTCTGTAATTTGTCAGGTGGGAGACGGGTGTTGAGGAGAGGAGGCGGAGTAAGGGGAAAGTTCTGGGGGGGCGTCATTATTTCTTTACTTATTGGAGCCAAGGTCTTACTCTGTCACCCAGGCTGAAATGCACTGATGCAACACAGCTCACGGCAGCCTCCATCTCCTGGGCTCACACAATCCTCCTGCCTCAGCCTCCCAAAGTGCTGGGATGACAGGCGTGGGTTGCCACACCCAGCCTCAATTTCTCTCTTTGGAGGCCAGTACTCTGGGTTGTGAAACATGGCACTTGGGTGAGGCTGAAATGGGGATTGCAGGGACCTTGTCTCCCCTGGGGGTGGGCAGGGACGGAAAGGGAGGCCAGGGCTGTGTCCGAGAGAGGTGTCTCTGCCCGCTCCCCACCTGGGCCAGGCTTGCAGAACAGGTGACGGAAAGGCTGATGGGGTGAGCTCACCGGGAAGGACCGGGCAGAGCAGGGGATCAAAGCGGGCAGGAAGAGGAGCTGCCAGCCGGATTCTTTCCGTGGGCAGCTGGCGAGAGCGGGTGTGCAGAGGGCATGGGCCTGGAGAGGGATTAGCCCGTCAGCTGGGGATTGTGGGAGGGTTCATTTAGCCTGAGAAGTATCTCTGAGTTTGGGACAAGCAGAAGAAACACCTGCTGTGGGCTACTCACCTACTGCGTGCAGGGCACCACGTGGGCGCTTTCCATGTTCCCAGTGAGGCCCCAGGAGCTCTTTTATTTTATTTTATTTTTGAGTTGGAGTCGCACTCTGTTGCCCAGGCTGGAGTGCAGTGGTATGATCATAGTGATGGCAGCCTCGACGTGTTGGGCTCGGAGATCCTCCTGCCTCAGCTTCCCAAGTATCTGAGACTACAGGCATGTGCCACCACATTCAACTAATTATTTGACTTAATGTAGAGAAGGGGTCTTGCCACATTGCCCAAGCTAGTCTCAGAATCCCGGACTCAGACAATCCTCTCATCTTGGCCTCCCAAAGTGCTGGGATTACAGGTGCAAGCCCCCCTGTCCCTTTCAGACAAGGGACATTGACTCCACTTTATATCATGATGATGGCAGGAATAATAGGAACTTTCAATGTTACCGTTCGAAAAGTGCCTACTATGGGCCGGGTGCTGGGCTTAGAAGCTTACGACTGTGCCTGGCACACAAGAGGCTCTCAATCAGTGTTTGTTGATATTGATATTCTGTTGCATTTTTTTAAAGATTTGAATTATACCTACAAAAAATTGACTAAAAACTTTATGAACAGGACCAGGCATGGTGACTCAAGCCTATAATCCAAGCACTTTGGGAGGCCGAGGCAAGAGTATGACTTGAGGCCAGGTGTTCAAGACTAACTTGGGCAACTTAGTGAGACCCTGTCTCTATAAAAAAAAACTATAAAAGAAAATTTGGCTGGGTATGGTAGCTCACGCCTATAATCCCAGCACTTTGAGAGGCCAAGGCAGGAGGATCGCTTGAACACAGGAGCTTAAGACCAGCCTGGGCAACATAGCCAGACCTCATCTCTACAAAAAATAAATTAAAAAAATTATCTTGGACTGGTGACATGTGTCTGTAATCTCAGCAACTCAGGAGGCTGAGGCAGAAGGATCACCTGAGCCCAGAGGTCGAGGCTGTGGTGAGCTGTGATCATGCCACTGCACCCCTGTCTGGGTGATAGAGCGAGACCCTGTCTCTAAATAAACAAATATGTATGTATATATGTGTATATATTTTATTTATTTTTATTTATTTATTTTTTTGAGTTGGAGTCTCACTCTGTTGCCCAGGCTGGAGTGCAGTGGCACACTCACGGCCGCCCCAGCACTGATCTGCTGGACTCCGGCAATAGTTCCGCCTCAGCCTTCCAAGTAGCTGAAACTACAGGCATGCACTACCACGCCCGGCTGATTTTTATTTATTTATTGTAGAGACGAGGTCTGGCCTAGTTGCCCGGGTGGGTCTCGAACCCGCGGGCTCAGGCAATCCACTCACCTCGGCCTCCCAAAGTGCTGGGATTATAGGCTGAGCCACCAGGCCCGATCGTATATTATATACGTGTGTGTGCATGTGTGTGCGTGTGCGTGTGTGTGTGTGTGTGTTTTGTGTGTGTGTGTGTGTGTGTGTGTGTTTTATACACACACATATCTGTATACGAAGGGGTTAACAGATGTTTGGGCAGGAACAGAACCTTCTAGGCCCCCTGCCCGCCCCCCGCAGGCCCCTCCTGGCCTCAGCCCCACCCTCCCCCTAAAGGAAGGCACGTCCTGACTTCATGGTCCTGGTCACCATCTACAGTTTCCTTTGGGGTTCTGGTCACTTTGGGGCTGATTCCTGGACACTGAAGTTCAGCTGGTTTGCTGCCAGCGATCCTGGAGGAGGTCACCCGGGAGATGCCCTTGGAATCGACCATGTTTGCTTAACATGAGGTTTGTACAGTTCATCCTCAGGGTCGTGTCTGCGGCCTCAGTTGTCCCTTCTCGTGGCAACGTGTTAGCCACCATTACTGCCTTCTGTATTTTCTCTGCACGCGGCAGCTCGTGTGATCCTGGCACCTGCAGAAGGCAGGGAGGATGGGCATCTCCGCTTTCCATTGAAGAGACGGGGGCTCCTAGGAGATGGGTCACAGCCCCACCCGCTTCAGGAGCCTGTGCTCGTCAGTGGAGGAGAAAAAGGGGACACAGAGAGGTTAAGCGACTTGCCTGGGTTTGCCCAGCAAGGGCACCGCAGTGCCTTCTTACCAGAGCTGACTCCAGGTTGCCCCGTGTGGCCTCTGAGGCCGGCGGCTCTGTGGCCGTCCCCAGGCAGACTTCCCCATCATGGCCCAGGGTTTATTCACTTTTAGGGTCTACAAGGACATTTGCTGTCTTTTAACATCAGAATGAAAGGCCAGTGTGATGATAATATTGGCTATCAGCTGGGCTCAGTGGCTCAGCCTGTAATCCCTCACTTGGGGAGGCCGAGGTGAGTGGATTGCCTGAGCCCTTGGGTTCGAGACCCGCCTGGGCAACTTGGCGAGACCTCATCTCTACAATAAATCAAAAATTAGCCGGGCGTGGTAGCGCGCGCTTGTAGTTCCAGCTACTTGGAAGGCTGAGGCGGAAGGATCGCCGGAGCCCAGCAGGTCGAGGCTGCGGTGGCCGGGAGCGGCCGCTGCACTCCAGTCTGGGCGGCAGAGTGAGACTCCAACTCAAAAAAAATAATAATAATAATATTGGCTATCTCGTGATGAATCCAGCCTGATTACCTTCGTCTTGAGGCGACTAACTCATAAACCTGGAAGGGCCCCAGACGACAGTCCTAGTCCGACTGAGCCAGCCCATCTCTTGCAGACACGGGATGCAGCAGTGGCGAGCGGCCGGCCAGCCCCGGTGCCGAGGGACCTGGGAGAGGCTGGGGCAGCTCCAGGACTGTCCCTGCCCTGCAGTCCACAGCCTCGTTTTCATCTAGCGTCCCTGTCCCCTCGCTGCCCCACCTCCCTCTTCCCAAAGCCTCCAGGGATGGTGGGGAGGCCCGGCGAGGGGGGTCCCCCAAGCGGGGAGGAGGCGGCAATTTGGGGACCGAAGGGGCAAGCCTTGTCATCATGTTGACACTGAAGATAGCTGTATGCTCCCGCTGGGTGTCGGCAGAGTTGCAGCCTTGTGACATCTCCCTCTGCCAGTCAGGCTTCCGGGATTTCATCTCCTGAACACTCTCCAGGCCTCTGCCCTCTTCTTGAAGTCCATTTTGCTTGTTAAATGAACTCTCCACCTCCCTCCCTTTTTTATTTAAATAAAATTTAAATATATATATATTATTTGTTTGTTTTTATTTTTATTTTATTTTATTTTATTTATTTATTTTTTGAGTTGGAGTCTCACCCTGTCGCCCAGACTGGAGTGCAGTGGCCGCTCCCGGCCACCACAGCCTCGACCTGCGGGGCTCCGGCGATCCTTCCGCCTCAGCCTTCCGAGTAGCCGGAATTACAGGCACGCGCTACCATGCCCGGCTGATATTTTGATTTATTGTAGAGATGAGGTCTCATCAAGTTGCCCAGGCGGGTCTCGAACCCGCGGGCTCAGGCAATCCACTCAGCCTCCCAAGGCACGGGATTACTGGCTGAGCCACTGAACCTGGCTTATTTTATTTTTTGAATCGAAGTCTCACTCTGTCACCCACGATCACGGCCACTGCAGCCTCAACCTCCTGGGCTCAGGCCATCCTTCCGCTTCAGCCTCCCGAGTAGCTGGGACTATAGTCATGCACCATCATGCATGGCTGTTTTTCTAATTTTGTAGGGACGAGGTCTCACTATGTTGCCCAGGCTTGTCTCAAGCTCCTGGGCTCAAGCCATCCTCCTGCCTCGGCCTCCCAAAGTGCTGGAATTTACAGTTGTGGTCACCATGTCCCGCTGTTTGTTTGTTTGTTTGTTTTGAGGCTGGGGTGCAGTTGTGTGATCATAGCTCACTGTAGCCTTGACCTCCTCAGGCCTTCCTTCTCAGCCTCCAAGCCCAGCTAATTTTTTTATCTTTTGTAGATTTGGGGTCTCACTGCGTTGTCCAGGCTGGTCTTGAACTTATGGCCTCAAGCAACTCTTCCTCCTCAACCTCCCAAACATTGGAATTATAGGCATGAGCCACTGCGTACTTTAAAAGAAAACTCCTACTTAAATATATGTGTTTAGGCAACCCTTTTGGGTCCCCTCCCACTGTGGGAGCTTTCCTATCTTCTCAATAAATCCTACCTTCTCGCACACACACAAAATATGTGTGTGTGTGTTTAAAGAATATGTTAGCCAGGCTCAGTGGCTCATCCTGTAATCCCGCGCCTTTGGAAGGCTGAGGTGAGTGGATTGCCTGAGCCCGTGGGTTCGAGACCCACCTGGGCAGCGAGACCTCATCTCTACAATAAATAAAAAATGAGCCGGGCGTGGTAGTGTGCGGCTGTAGTTCCAACTACTCAGATGGCTGAGGCGGAAGGATCACTGGAGCCCAGCAGGTCGAGGCTGCGGTGGCCGGGATCGGCCACTGCATTCCAGTCTGGGCGACAGAGTGAGACTCCAACTCAAAAAAAAGAGAAAGAATATGTTACATCACAATTACACATGAAAATAAATAGCAATAGCAAATATTTATTAAGCACCCACAAAGTATCAAGCACTGTCTCAGCCCATTTCACACATTGACTCATTGGGTCCTGAGTTAGGTACAATTATTATCCCCATTTTACATGTGAGAAAATTGAGGCTCAGAGACGTTTGGCCAGTTGCCAGAAGTTGCACAGCTAGTGAGTGGCAGAGTGGGGATTCAATCCCATGAACTACACCTATTGCTTAGGTTCCCTGCCTGGTAGGTCATTGCCATGAGGGCAGGGATTTTGATCTCTGTGTCTCTGATTCTAGAACAGTGTCTGAAACACAATAATACTCAATGAATATTCGCCGAATACAAGCAAGTGAATAAATGAACCTTCAATTTTCATATTAAGAAGACAATTATGGCCAGGTGAGGTGGTTCATGCCTATAATCCCAGCATTTTGGGAGGCCAAGGTGGGGAAGGATTGCTTGAGCTCCAGAGTTTGAGACCAGCCTGGGCAACATAGCGAGACCTCGTATCCACAAAAAAAAAAGTAAAAATTAGCCGGGTATGGTGGTGTGCACCTGTAGTCCTAGCTATTCAGGAGGCAAGAGACAGGAGGATTGCCTGAGCCTGGGAAGTTGAGGCTGTGGTGAGCTGTGATCATGCCACTGCACTCCAACCTGGGGGGCACAGTGAGACTCAGACTCAAAAAAAGAAAATAAAAGAAAACCAGAAAAATCAGTACGATGGAAACCAAACGAGTCTGGTGAGGTCGGGTTGCCTGCCCAGGACACTGAGAGTGCTCCTTACTCAAACCAGAAATTAGCAAGTGTGGAGGGACAGGAAGGACACACTCGTAGCCACTGGGGACTCGCTCCTTGACAGATTAGAAAAATTATGAGACTTAAAAGAGGGTCAGCATTCTCCCTGAGGTGTCAGTTGTTACAAATATTTCTTTTCTTTTTTTGAGTTGGAGTCTCACTGTCACCCAGGCTGGTGTGCAGTGACGCTCACGGCCACCACAGCCTTGACCTGCTGGGCTCAGGCAATCCTTCCGCCTCAGCCTTCCAAGTAGCTGGAACCACAGGCATGCAACCACCACGCCTGGCTAATTTTTCTTGATTTATTGTAGAGACGAGTTCTCGCCAAGTTATCCAGTCTGGTCTCGAACCCGTGAGCTCGGGCAGTCCTCTCACCTCGGCCTCCCAAAGTGCTGGGATGAGCCACTGCGCCCAGCTTGTTACTAATATTTCTAAACAGCAAATTCACATGCCACATTGTTCACCCATTTGAGGTGTGCAGTTCCAGCCTGTTTGGTATATTCAAAGAATTGTACGAACATTGCCAGAGTGTAATTTTAGAGCATTTTGTGCCCAAGAAACCCTGCACTCATTAGCAGTCACTTCTCGTCCCTCCGACACCTCCCATCCTCAGCAACCGCACATCTTTTCTGTTTTTAATGGATTTATCTATTCTGGATATTTGGTATAAATGGCATCACACAATATGTGGTCTTTCATGACGAGCAGTTTCACTTTGCAGAATGTTTTCTTTTTTCTTTCTTTCTTTTTTTGAGTTGGAGTCTCACTCTGTCGCCCAGACTAGAGTGCAGTGGCCGCTCCCGGCCACCGCAGCCTCGACCTGCTGGGCTCCGGCGATCCTTCCGCCTCAGCCTCCCGAGTAGCTGGAACTACAGGTGTGAGCCATCATGCCCAGCTATTTATTTATTTATTTATTTATCTATTGTAGAGACAAGATTTCACCAAGTTGCCCCGACTGGTCTCCAACCCCTGGACTCAGGCAATCTTCTTGCCTCAGCCTCCCAAAGTGCTGGGATTACAGGCTTAAGCCCTCATGCCCAGCCTATAACATCTTTTTTTTTTTAGTTGGAATCTCACTGTGTCACCCAGGCTGGTGTACACTGGCCCGATCACGGCTACTGCACCTTCAACCTGCTGGGCTCATTCGATCCCTCCACCTTAGCCTTCCAAGCAGCTGAAACTATAGGCGCACACTACCATACCCGGATAACTTTTTGATTTATTGTTTTTTGTTGTTGTTGTTGTTTTTTGAGTTGGAGTCTCATTCTGTTGCCCAGGCCGGAGTGCAGTGGCCTGCTCATGGCCACTCCTGCGTCGACTTGCTGGACTCTGGTGATCCTTCCGCCTCAGCCTTCCAAGTAGCTGGAAATACAGGCGTGCGATACCACACCTGGCTAATTTTTTATTTATTGTAGAGATGAGGTCTCTCCAAGTTGCTGGGGCTGGTCTCGAGCCCGCAGGCTCAGGCAATTCACTTGCCTTGGCCTCCCAAAGTGCGGGATTACAGGCTGAACCACCGAGCCCTGTCAGCAGAATGTTTTCAAAGTTCACCATCGTGTAGCTTGTTTCAGCACAAGATTGTGTGTTTTTTGTTGTTGTTATTTTTTGTTCTTTTTGAGTTGGGGGTCTCACTCTGTTGCCCAGGGTGAAGTGCAGTGGCACGATCACGGCTCACTGCAGCCTCGACCTCCTGGCTCAGGGGATCCTCCTGCTTCAGCCTCCCAAGTTGCCGACTACAGGCGTGTACCACCATGCCCAGCTAGTTTTTTCGTAGAGACGAGGTCTCACTACGTTGCCCAGGCTGGTCTCGAACTTCTGGGCTCAAACAGCCCTCCCGTCCCCATCTCCTAAAGTGCTGGGTTTACAGATGTGAGCCACCACGCCTGGCCAGTAGTCAATTGTTTAATGCCGCACCCTGGGCTCAGGTAAAACTGTCTCAGATAATCCCCATTCCAGGAAGCACGTTTTGCGGGGATCACAGCTCAGTCCCTCGGCCGGCTCTGAGTAAGCGAGCCCAGGCCGCCCTGGGATTGTGGGGAGGGACTTGTATCTCTCAGCTGTCCTTGGGCCCCGGGCAGGAACTGGCCCAAATGTCACTGCTACTTGATCCTCCTTCCTAGGCCAGCACTCTGCGCACTCCTTGGAATCACTGCCTGTTCCTGAGCTCTGGGAGCGCGGTTGAGTCACGGGGTGAACATGTCGGCAACACCTGTGTGTGCCGGTCTGGGATGAGGAGTCCGGGCCCAGGGGTGGTGCGAGGCGGGGGAGGGGAGCAGACGGCCAGCAAGGGGACCCCCACGGGCACCGGGCAAGCCTGGGCAGAGGCAGGGACTATTTGATTTATTGTAGAGACAATAAAAAAGGTCTTGCCAAGTTGTCCAGGTTGGTCTCGGACCCCTGGGCTCAGGCAATCCTCTTGCCTCGGCCTCCCAATTGCTGGGATTACAGGTATGAGCCACTGTGGCTGGCTGATACTTAAAAAATTAAAAGACCAGGGCAACCCCCTTGGGCCCCCTCCCACTGTGGGAGATTTTCTGTCCTCTAAATAAATCCTGCTTTAAAAAAAAATGAAACAGAAGACCAAAAATGTGTTGGGGATGGAGGTGAGAGCATTGGTGTGGTGTCGGAGGCCTTCCCTCCACGTAAGGACCTCGAGTCTTTCTTTTAAAGGGGTATGAGGGTCAGAACTCAACTCAGCCGACTCTAGCAAGAAGGGGAATTGACTGGCTCGTGTAGTTACAATATCCAGGATAGGGCTGCCTTCAGGTGTGGCTGGATCCAGGAGTCTCAAGGTTGGAGCTGTTATATCACTTTCCTTTGGCCCTGCTCTCCTCTGTGTCAGCTTCATGTTCCAGGAGGCACGGGGGGGGGGGGGCAGAT